GTAGGAGCTTAAAAATAAAAATTTGGAGTTGAAAATATTTTTAAAAAGTAAAATTATTTTTTTTGGGAGGGGGTGGTGTTGGGGGCGGGGGGTAGAGGGGGAGGGTGGTCAGAGATCGGTGAAAAAATAAAATTTTGAAATTGAAAATATTTTTTTAAAAATTTATGTTTTTTCAAAAAAAATGTAATTTAAAATTGGAGGAGAGCTTTGGAAAATATTTTCCTTAATTTTGGGATAATGCCCAAGTACCCCCACAACCTATGCCTGAAATCTCAGAGACACACTTATACTATACTAAGGTCGTATTATCCCCCTGAACTTATTTTATTAATAATTTTTTACCCTTTTTTGACCTACGTGGCACTATCTTGTGGGCCCAACGATGGTTGATTTTTTTTATAAAAACTAGTGCCACATAGACTAAAAAGGGGTAGAAAATTACATATAAAATAAGTTCAGGGGGTAATAGGACCTTAGTATAGTATAAGTGTGTCTCTGGAATTTCAGACATAGGTTGAGGGGTACTTGTGCATTTTTCCCTTAATTTTTGAAGGGAAGTCATTTTCCTTAATTTTGAGGAAAATGAGTTGATTTGGAAAACATTTTTCAAAACTTTTGCCCCAACCAAACATGAGAAAATTGGAAAACGTTTTCCTTCATACCAAACACACTCTTAATGATTTTTATTGTGCACCTAGAGGTAATACACTCATGATTTCACTACTCCCTTCTCTTTGTAATGCTTATGCATTATTGATGCAAGAGGAGAAGCAAAGGAAGGTCAAGAATACACCAAAATTTCCTGTGAATCGTTCTCATTCATCGCTGACAACGGCAACATATCATTTTCTACTGATTTAGAGGACAAAAAGGGAACTATGATAACAAGAAGTCTAATCTTGTTCGCAGATATTACAAGAAAACAGGACATAGCATTCAAAATTCTGTTAAGAGTAATGTTGTGACTTCTATTGAATTGTCTGGAGATTTTTTTATGACTGGCGCAGAATCAAAGGAGCATGAGAAACTTCTCACACAGGTGCAATTGACACAAGTCATGCAGATGTTCAGTAGGTGAAAAATAAGGATCAAGCTAATTTTGATGTCATAGCTCTGTGAATTGTGCTAGTATTACTTTAACCCCTAATCATTTCTCTCTAAATCCAAATATTGATGGTAAAACGTTCACTAAAGAGATGTGGATAATAGACTCAGGTGCAACTGAATATATGAGTTACAATACAGATTTTTTTATCGATCTTAAACCATTGCCTAGAATTACTTCTGTAAGGCTTCCTAATTCACGAAAGGTTAAGGTTTCTCATTCAGTATTTGGCAAACTATTCTCAAACTTAATTATTCATAATGTGTTATATGTTCCTAGTTTCCATTTCAATTTATTGTCTGTGCACAAGTTGTGCAGACAAATTTCTAATATATTATTAATCACACCTTCTCATTGTTTCATGCAGGGACCTTCAATGAAGAGCCCAATGCTCCTTGGTGAAAGCTAGAATGCTCTCTATATATTGAAAAACAGGCTTCCAGATTCTTCTTATTCTCTTAAATCCTGCTTTTAAGTCTACTTCTAGTTCAAATTCCCTAAAAAATGATAAATCTAGTTTGTTGTGCATTTCTGTTTCTGTTATTCAAAGCAAGTTATGGTATGTAAGGTTAAGGAATATGTCTTTATCAAATATGCAGAATGTCAATGGAATTCCTATTTCAGATTGTTCAAAATTCTCTGTTCCTTGTTCCATTTGTCCATTAGCAAAGCAATCCAAACTTCCTTTTCCTATTAGTCATATTTCATCTCAAAATTTTTTTTTATTTAATCCATATTGATACTTGGGGGCCTTTATGGCACCCCTACTTACGATGGTTATAGGTATTTTTTAATCATAGTGGATGATTTTAGTAGAGGAACTTGGACCTTTTCATTAACTACTAAAGTAATGTCTTTTCAATTCTCAAATATTTTGTTGCAATGATAGATCAATAAAAAGGTTAAGGTCACTAGGTCTGATAATGGTTGGGAATTGGGTTCAAGTTTAGAAACTTCTTGTTTCTTGTCTACATAAGGCATCATTCATCAAACTTCTTGTGTTGGCACACCTCATCAAAATGGTGTAGTTGAGACAAAACATAGACATCTTTAGGAAGTTTGTAGAGCTTTGTTTTTTAACTCTCATCTTCCATCAAAATTTTTGGGGGATTATCTAATGACAAGCACTTACTTAATCAATAGATGCCTGATAAAACTATTATCTTTTCAAACACCATATGAGAAGATCTTTGGTCATCCTCCAAATTACTCTTACCTTAAATGTTTTGGTTGTATTGGTTTTGCTTCCACTCTTTCTCCATGTTGATCTAAATTGAATCCTAGAGTTGAGCTCTGTGTGTTTCTTGGGTAACCTTTTAGGCAAAAGGGGTATAAGTTACTTAGCTTACATTCTCAAAAATATTTTGTTTCCACGAATATTATTTTTTATGAAGATATATACCTTTTTTCTTCTATTATAATTTTATATCCTCTCCTCCACGTAGTACTTCATTTTCTCCAGCTTAAATTTCTCAAGTACCTTCTACACAGATTCTTCCTTCACAATCTTTGGTTTCCATCCCTCCTATCATCTTGTTACCATGAGAAAATCTGCTAGATCTATCAAGACTCCCACATATTTAGAAGATTGCATGTTCAACAGTGTACATTTTTCTAATGTATTTGTACTTGTTTTTCTTCTCCTATTTCTCACGTTGTTTTCTTTTAGTACCTTATCCATGTCTAATCAATAATATATAAAGAACCTACAAATTTTTCTCAAGCCAGTTTATATCCAGATTGGCAAGAGTCTATAACAAGAGAATTAGAAGCTCTTATCACTAATGACACTTGGAAGTTGTCTCATTACCCCCGGGAAAAAAGGTTTTACCTAGTAAATGAGTTTACAAGGTCAAACTCAACTCCAACAGTTCTGTGGAGAGACTTAAAGCTTGGTTAGTTGTTAGGGTGATGTTCAAAAGTAAGGTGTGTTTTGGCAATTGTTATTAAGAAAGGGTGGGGACTTTCCATTTAGATGTAAACAATGTGTTTTTACATGGCAAGTTGGACGAAGAAGTTTATATGAAGTTTCTGGCAGGTTTGAAGGTTTCTGATCCTACTCAAGTTTGTAACCTAAAGAAATTTTTATATGGCCTTAAACAAGCGTCAGGACAATGGTATGCAAGACTGACTGCGGCATTGAGTTTCAAAGGTTTTTAACACTCATTGAATGATTATTCTCTTATTTACAAATGCACAAGTAGATCTGTTTCTATATTAGTTGCATATGTGGATGATATTTTCCTCACATGTAATGATTTGGCATAATTAAATGCGTTTAAATCTTTCCTCGATTTAGAATTCAAGATTAAGGATTTAGGTGATTTACACTATTTTTTGGGCATTGAAGTCATCCGAGAACCTCATGGTTTGATCCTTAACCAAAGAAAATTCATTTTAGAACTATTATCTGAATATAATTGCCTTGGATTCAAACCTGACTCTTTTTCTCTGGATCCCACTCTAAAATTGCAAGCAAACATGGGATCTCCTCTTCCAGATTCCACTGTTTATAGACGACTAATTGGACAATTAAATTTTTTAACACATACAAGGCCTAATATCTCTTTTGCGGTCCAAAACCTTAGCTAATATATATAGTCTCTGTTATTTGTAGTTTTGATGATTTGACAAACTTAGGAACCTTGTAAAGGTACCAGGTTTCTTACTTGAGTGTTGAAGATGAAACAAACACAGGGACCTTGTAGAGGTACCAGGCTCTCATTGGGACGAGTCAGTTGACTGCCAGCTGGAGACGGTACAGAAAGTAGGCGCACACTTCCCGATGGCGTCAGAAAGTGAGACTTCTCCAACCAATGGCAAAGAGTTTAAGGAAAGTGACTTTTCCATATAAAAAGGAACTTTCCTAAACATCTTTGGTAGTTTTTGCAACTTGAGATAAAACTTTTCAAGAACACTTGCAAAGGCTGCTAGAAAACGAAAGGTAGAATTATTCCAAGAACAGCAGTAATCTCTGAAGCTTTTAGTGTAGCTGTTTAGGAATATATTCTCTTGTTCTTATATTGTAAACTATTCTTGAAACTATAAAGGAATCAGTAGGTAGTGTTAAAAGTCTAGGTTGTCCAAGTGGGATAGCTTAGTGGGTAGATTATTTTCTACTTAAGCTTGTTAAGCAATAGAGACTATTGCTTAAACGTGAGATTAAAAACTTCTTCTCACATTTGTTGTAATCGTGTTTTACTTTTGCTTTTGAAGATTAGTCAAAACGATTGAAAATCCTGTGAGGCAGGTCGTGGTTTTACTCCCTTAAGCAAGGAGGTTTCCACGTAAAATTATTGTGTTGATTTTACAGCATTTAACTTTATGGTTATATTCATTAGTGTAGTAAGGGACCTGGTCCATTATTCTGTTAACTGAAGTCATATATTCTATCAAGTGGTATCAGAGCGGGCACTCTCTATTTGGTTAACACCAAGGAAGTGATATTTGTTCTAGAATGGCTGCTCCACTTAATCTCGAAGAAGGTCAGTCGTCAACAAGACCTCCCCGTTTCAATGGAAATTTCTACAGTTGGTGGAAAGTTAGAATGCATGATTACCTCATGGATGAAGACAGCGAGTTATGGGATATTGTACTTGATGGACCATTTATTCCGATGATAGAAGAAAAGGATGGAGAGAAAACTAGTCTTGTTCCAAAGCCTAGACAGAAATACGACGAAGCTGATAGAAAAGATTGAGAAGGGCTACAAAGCAAAAACTCTTCTTGTCTGTGGGATAGGACCTGATGAGTTCAACAGGGTTTCAGCTTGTGAGTCTGCTAAGGAAATTTGGGAATGTTTGAAGACTGCTCATGAAGGAACTAAACAAGTCAAAGAATCAAAGATTAATATGCTTACCTCACGGTATGAGAACTTCAAAATGAAGGAAGAAGAAACAATTCATGACATGTTCACAAAATTGTCTTCCATTACAAATGAGCTGCGAAGTCCTTGTGAACCTATAAGCATGATCAAACAAGTCAGAAAAGTACTTCGAATTCTTCTAAAATCTTGGGAAAGCAAGGTTGATGCCATCACAGAAGCCAAAGATTTGAAGGTGCTGACTATGGATGCTTTGATTGGAAATCGGAAGACACATGAGATGAATCGAAATTACAATTCATCAAAGAAGGAAGCTAAAAAGGATAAGTCATTGATGCTGAAGTACAAATCAGATCAAGATTTCAGTGATGATGATATGGCATATCTTATCAATAGATTTCAAAAAATTGTGAGAAAAACCAAAGTTTTTAAAAGAGGAACAAATGGTCTTTGAAATGCTACTCAAGGTGATACATGCTACAAGTGTAGAAAAGATGGACACTTTATCAGAGAGTGTCCTCTGCTCAAGAATGAAAACAAGGAACATCAAAAACCAAGAAGTGACAAAGAGAAGAGAAGGGACCTGGTACTCGGTAGAGAGATCAAAAACCTGCTGCAGACTTGGTGGTCAAAAAGTCTCTTGCTGCGTGGGGTGATTCTTCAAGTGATTCAGAAGATCCTGATGAATCAAATGATGTGTCTATGTGGCTGTACATGAGGAGGAAACCGTTTTCAATGAAATGTTTGCTCTCATGGCTCATACAGAAAATGATGAAGAGGACGACCAGGTAACTCTTCTTGATATGAAAAATGACTTGGATAATTATTCTCTTAAAAAATTGAGAACGTTGGCAAAAGTCAGGATTGATTCTGTAATTGAGTTAACATCTGAAAGAGACACCATGAATGCTGAACTTGACAGTTTAACTGAAAACAAAGTTAAACGTGAAGAGAAAATGTCAAGAATGGTGTCTCTAGAGTCTGATAATTCTGAACTTAAGAACCAGTTGAATCAGATAACTGAAGAAGCTGAAAAGAGAAATGGAATGTCAAATGGTTTACAAGTTGAAATTCAAGAAAAATTGAAAAACTTTGAGAAAAAACTTGGTCTGTTGTTGGAGAAGAGCAACAAATTAGAAAAGGATATTGTCAAACTTAAGGAAGAACTTGAAAAATCTCTTAAGTGGACAAAATCCTCAAAGTTATTGTCAAATGCAACAAATCAGAGTAATTTCAATAAGAAAGGACTAGGAAGTTTGAACATCACTCCTCCTTATAATCCTCACAGTAAGTATGTGTTTGTGTCTGACAATCTGCTCTGTCTTCATTATGGTAAGAATGGTCATTTAAAGGGAGAGTGTGCTGGCTGGAGAAAATCCTATGAAGGACTCTCTAATTATGTTAAAAGGCAAAATTTACCTAAAGAGAGACCTGGTCCTCCAAAGCATGTTTCAACTCACAGATTTTCAAAGAAAAAATTTGTCACTGCTCCAATGTCCTTTGTTAGAAAGCTTCAAAATCTACACTATTGGAATAAATACAATCTTATCACTCCTTTGTCTGTCTTCTGGGAACTCAAAACGAAATGGGTTCCCAAGCTGAACAATTGATTCTTGGTGCAGGTGAGTGAGAGGACCAGCAGCCAATGTTGGTATATGGACAGTGGATGCTCTAAATATATGACTGGTGATGTAAAAAATTTCCTCTCACTCAAGACACTTCAAGGAGGAGGTGTCTCTTTTGGTGATGGAAAGAAGGGGTACATTTTGGGAGTTGGCAAAGTGGGAAGATCTCTTGAAGATTCAATTGACA